CCAGTCTGCCTCATTGCCAATCAAAAGTCCACCTATTGCAGCAAAAGTTCACAATGCTATTAAAAGCGGTGAAGTGTTACGCTGGAATTACAAAAATGTCGACTTTGTAATGATAGGCTCTTCAAATCAGGATGCTCTAACGCCCTAAGGAGAAAATAAACCATTACAATGTCACAAAAGTCTTACATGTCAAGAAGTGGGTACTCCACCTCATTTTTGATCAAGAAGAGAGCAAACACCCTTACCACCTTAGCAGTTTGGATTCAGATGCAAGTGGATGCAATCAAAAACTTAGAAAGTACAGATGTCACATATATGTGACACCGGGTTCAAACGCGTTTCTAGCTTATCTAATGGCAAAGAAAGGAATTGTTGGGAAAACCCATTAGCGGAAAGGAAACTAACTTTTTGATTTAAAAACCCTTTTGTCATTTTAAAACAAGCCTAGAGAAAGTACAAACGGTAATATTGGATGTGGCTGCCACGCAGGAGGTTTTAAGCCTGCCGAATTCAATTACGTGGTGTCATTGACTAGATAGACCGAGGACTTCAATCCCTTTTGTCACTGTGAAGAAATTTTGCATTTTTATTCAAAAACAAAGCAAACTTACCACTCGGACCAAAGGGCCACGCACCAGTTACCTCCGAAATGTCGTGGTACATGTTTACAAATCGCGGCATTGGATGAAGGCTGTCAGTTTATCCTCCCCTTAAGGCAAGCAGCTCTGAGTATCGAAAGATTGTCCACTCTCTCCGGGTATGTCTGTGTGCATGCTGTTGGTGTCAGGGTAGCCCCGAGCCGTTAAAGGCTGACCAATGAGCTGCACTGGTGGAATCGCGCAGCCTGCATTTGGACCACGCCTGTGCCAAGAGCTAACGGCCCGGTTGGCATGCAAAGTCAAGCTGAGGGACTTCTTTCCTACTCTCTTGACAGGCTGTCATGGGAGAGCACAGCGTGGCGTCTTCAATAATGGAGTCTGTTCAACTCAACAAAGAAAACGCTTTTACGATGCTCAAGGTATTGGCTGTAGGCGGTTTGGATCATCGCAATAAGTAGGATGCTAATGTGTCCTCAGCGAACAGACGAAAGGAGCAAAATTTTCTAAAAAGAACAATTGACGCCCTACAAGTGAGTAAATAGATGTACTTAAACCATTTCAAGGGGTTTGGTGGTTTACAAAATTAAAAAAGGACGAAATTTGACCTTTTGGTTAAATTTACAGATTAAAATTTTTTGCTAATGGTATAAAGCATGGGTTTTCTAAATCTTAAACATTGTTACGAATTCACTTTCCCGTCCTACAAATATTTTTTGAATAACAAAACTATAATACCTAAATTTTGCCTATCCAAATTTAAGAGAGAAGGCAAATCAGATGATCAATGATTTCTAAATTTCTACTGAAGTAAATTAAGTAGGTGGTATATTGTGCGCAACTCTTTCTCTGGTGTGGTCTTACGACTATGATTTTAAAGAAGAAAATCCTTTAACAGGTTTCTGAAGAGTGGTAATATGTTTGATACCCACGAGACAAGGTTAAGCACACAAATTTGTTTATTTGAAAGTTAATGAGTAAGGCCAACAAATTGAATTCAGGGTATGTACAAATCACAAACATCCAAGTTTTGCGCCAAATGCGCCCTTATTAAAGTCGTCTCTATCACATTGCTAAATTTGCTATGATTACCCAAAGCCTTGAGTTTTTAAACGCCTAACAATTTGAGATTTTAATTAATCTCCATCATGCTAAAATGAATTGCTTCGACTGCCCGCAAAAGTGTTACTATTCGAATTGCAGTCGTACCACTTTTAAACTATTTTAAATTTCATATTTTAAACGCAAACATAAAATGCAGAGGTAGGAGAATGGCTAATCTTTTAAAAAATACAAATACACCTAAATCGCCTAAGAATTGGTGACAAGTAGTTTGGTTCATGTGCTTACACTGGAAAAAAAGTATTGCATTACAAAACTCGGACCTACGTGCATTTTCTCCCCCAATTTTTTGATAGACGTTTGGTGGCTAAATGTCGATTACTCACTGCTGGAGACGGCATTTTGCGGAGTAATACGTTACTCAATTAAATTAAGTAGCACTTGTTTGGCTGAATTTTGATCTTTACAAGTTCAATCTTAGGTATTCGGCAAGTCGTGATGAGATGGAGTATTTTACTATTATTTTTTATGATTTATTCTATCTTTGAGACTTTACACAATATTTTAGCATTTAGTTAACACGTTTCTTACTAACTTTACATATATGTGACGAGTCCACATTATCACTTTAGTATAACTAGTTACACCAAATGTGAACGTCACATTTTCCAGAATTAAAGACGGTTTTTATGTAATTGCATAGCAGTTTTTTTCACTGATCTCTATAGTGCTAACTGTTTCTAGTGAGGAAGCCATTTTCGACCACCTTCATGGTATTTCATGCAGGTAGGGCTCAGATGCAAAGGTTGTTTGGCCTTGAGTGAAAAAATTAGGGCGACCACTTCTTCATGCAGGCCAACACAAACACAAGGCAGCATTTTCTTGCGGTCTGGCAATGCCACATCCCAAAGGCGTATGACATACGTAATAGGTGGATAATTAGGCTGTAGAGGCTTCTTCTTTCCGTTAGCGTTGCAATACAGCAGCCAATTCTCATCACAAGCCAAACATCAGATGAGCTGAAGTGCATAGTCTGTTTCTACGGACTTAAAAGAAAGAGAAAAAAAGGATAACAGCTTTTATGTTTATCACCTGTCGTTAGTGCAAGGCATGAAACATCCATTTGTTCAGCAAGATTTCACAACTTCACCTCTTTTGTTAATGTGGGTGCAAGAGAGTTAATTCATCCTTCATGCCCAGAAATGCCCTCAGTCGAGTTCTGGACACGTTATCCCGAAAGTCTTAATTCAGACCGAGGAATCTGAAGTCTTCTCAAATGTGCTGCATCCGTTTTTGATGTTTTCGCCACAGGAACTTGACAACTGAAGGCATTTCTAAACGAGGTATTCCAGACACGCATTACCGCCTACCAAATACCGCACCTCCCAAAATTGGCCTTCCCAGATGCGACAAGAGTCTGCCGTCAACCAACACTTAACGATACATGAGGTTAAACAAAGAGGAAAGTGGCACAAGGCACTCCCAAAGCCTACCGCTGCCCAATGTGGCACCTCTTACCTCTCCTCCACAATGCTTGCGTGTGTAAATAATAGCATACGCTATTCATGTGCCTCTTTGTAACAACACACATGCACAGAGCACACGGAGCTTTTCACAGTCACCTCACACAAGGGGTCAACACATATCCGGGATGCTTGAAGCAACTTTTCTGAGGCTCCATACCTATTACGCAACTGTAGTGACCTGGTACTGTGTTTAACTGTGTAGACGCTTCAGCTTTGCCGTAAAAGTACTTGTTGACATGACTACCTCGCTACCTACTGTGAAATTGCAGATGTTCATCAAGATAAGCCGCTGTGCTCTACGGCAAAATTTGTCCACCAGGAACAAAGCGGCTGCTCTGGGGTGCTTAGCTGAGGAGGGAACTCGCCCTTCCTCCCACTGAGTTAGACGCACACACTTGACTCCACTGAAGTCTCTTGTGCGCTCTCGGATCTTACACCTTCGTTAGGCATAAAGCTAAAATATCACCATGGCTGTTACAAACACCCAAGCGTTCACTGTTCCTGTTGTTGTTCCCTCATTTCATCTAGCTTACCGTTGTTTAGAACAGACTTGCCCAAGGCAGACCGTCTGCTTTGGCAATATTTGTGAACAGGGAGCGAAGGAGGCATGCATACGTTTTAATTGTGAGTCCGTAAAATCCATAGTCCCAGTTTGATGTGAATGTCTTGATACGACCTTCTTGTTGAGGAGCTCGGAAGATACGGCATAACCACTACCTCTCCCAGTCCATGCAAACTTGTACACACACGGTGGACCCGACTTTGCTGACCCCTTGAGGTCACTCCTCCGAATAGCCAGACAACACATGACCCGCGGTTGAGAGGCTGACTTTTATGACTCCATGGGTGGTCATTTCACTCGATATCATCCAAGGTTGCATGAAGACTCTATCTGTCTGATTGGCTGGATTACGATGAACACTGTCCTCTTTAAACTTCACAAAATTCTTAGCTCCATCCTTAAATGTCAAATCACAAAAGTGAGCTTTTTAAGGCAGCGTGGGGTAGGAGATAGTGTCACCATTTCGACTTTCCGTATGACGTGCTAACCAGCGTCGTATTGACATGGCATTGTCTGGCGCACAATTACTTGTCGCAACGGGTTCGAGCTATGTTACTTTATTCCTCGAATTTATTCATAAACAATACAACTGGACTAAAAGTAGATAAATTTCGCTTTTTGTTGACTATAATACTACTGTTACCAATATCGCAAAGATAGCGCAGGCTCACAAGGGGATTTTTCGACTCAAACTCAGCGCCACAAATTTGTGGCATACATGCTTTAGTAATTTATTTAATCACACGAGCTTGATTGGGACTTAAACGGCTTGCATAAAGTGAATTTTTTGTTCTGCTAATCAGAGATCTTGGTCATTTTAACACAACTACTTATGCTAAATACTGTTTGATAATTTGTGGTTGTTTAAAAAACTTGGACTGGTGAGCACATTTATAAACACCTGATTGGTCCAATATCCCAGATGGAAGTTGATTTTTTTCAGTTACTGCGCCACGTGCTTTTAGTGCGAATGTGGTGAGGCAATTTGCTTGCACCTGATTCGTGGATGGGAGCAACCAATAGCAGAGCTGTATGTCATTCGGCACACGGTGATTGGTTACTACCGGCAGAGCCATCCAGTGAGCTCCCAGGTAAACATAAGACCCCGCGTACCGCGACGCATCACTTGGTGCGCGTGCGGGTCAGCAGTGGTTGCGTACGCCTGTCGTTACAATCCCCAATTAACACGAGCGCATACTTTGTTTCTCAGCCTTCTCTTTTCATCTCTCGTCTTTTCATTCCTAACCAAGAGTCATGGGAACTCTTATTTCCAAGCCTCGCAGCGGTGATAATCCACCCAAGAAGATTCCTACACGAACCTACAGTGGAAGTAGTGTGAACAAGAAGCCCAAACTGTTTAAAGCTCTCTCCAAACGCAAGGATGAAACGGCAAGGAAGTCTGCTACTCTTCAGCCAACCAGAACTGGGGATAACCTCCAAGTGCCCTCCGAAGCTGCCACAGAACCGATTTTGGTTTCTGCAGCCTCTTGCGAAGTACGATCATCCCCTGTTGTCCTCGAATGTCGAACTCCCGGAGTTGCTGATGGAAAGGTGGCTCAGGAGCCCGCAGCTCCGACGAAGGATGCCATTCCCGTGAAGGCTGATTCCATTTTGAAGGAGGAAGAGGCGGAGACACCTGCCAAGATAGAAAAACATCCTACAGGATCTGAGGAACAGACTGTGGTTGAGAACGCCGATGCTATTGCGCAGGAAGTCGCGGACGAGGTGATTGAGGGTTCTATGAAAGTAATTGAAAAGGAGGTGGTGGAAGTGGAAAAGGAAGTCTCTCCAAAAGACATTGAGGAACCAAAATCACAGATGGAGGAGTGCCAAAGCAAAGGCGAGTTTGATGAACCCGAACCTGAGCCCATTAACGAGGTAGTTCGTGACCATCAGGAATCCGAGGTCGCCGAAATTTTGGTGAACGAGGCTCTTAACGCTGGAGTTGAGGCTGAAGCTGCGGAGAAGCAGGCTGCTCTTTCAGCACCCATAGATGGTGAGCAACCAGGATCAAGCCTAGAGGAACAACGTCCGCAGTCCTCCGATCAAAGCTCTGATTATGTGGAAGCCCTACAACAGAGCCAGTCGGTTAGCGAAGCCTTTGGAGACCCTAACGAGGTTAGCGATGGAACAAAGAATATAGAAGTGGCCTGTCTCAATGACAAGACCAGGGATGGTGAATTAAAAGACGTTCCAGAGGATGAAAAGCATGAAGTTGACGTCAAAACCGAAGAAATTGCTCCCGAAGGAGAGGATGTTATTCCACCCGACAATAGTATTCTAAATGGTCATGATGAAGTGCAGCACGGAGACGATGCGGGTGCTGACAAAGACGGATGTTTGGAAGGTGGTCCTGAATCCGACCCGACTGCTACATCGAAGGCCTCCGTTGGCGAAGATGTTGAGCATAACAAGTCGACAGCAGTTTAGGAATGAAGAACAATCAAGACGGCAAGTTCTGTTCTGGGGCTAGTCATCCACTAATCCTCCTCCTCCTCTCTCTCCAACCCAAACCCTTTTTTCGTTCTTCTGCCAATCTCTCCCTCATTTATTTTTCATTTTTCATTCGACCACCACCACCTTTTGAAGCATGCAAAGCAATCTACAGAGTTTGGCCTATGCTGTTTCCATTTTTTTGAACAATTGTAACAGCTATTTAATTTTGTATTAACCCAAAAAAGCTGAACTTCCAAATGCGGATAGTCTCTCTCCCCCTTGTCCCCTTCCTCTCCCCCCACTCCTCCATCTATCTACAGGCCTTATTGTGTAAACATTTATTTCTGTCAAAATTAAATCCCTCTTATTATTTATCCCCTTTGTTTTATTTTTCCTTCTGAAAATGTGGTTTCCCTTCCGTCGGTTTCGCTCTCATGTGAGCGACCTTCAAATTGAGGGGAATTTGTCACCTGGTTGGCGCACGTGCAGCGATCGATGTTCCCCATCAACCTTGGGGTCCTACCAATGGTGGCCAAGTGGGAGTTATTTCAGGCATATGGAGAGTGCTTTGTCTTCTCCATGACCTCCCTCATGCTCCCACCTCCCTTGTCATTGCATGGCTCGGCGAGCTGTCAATTAAGTTGTGTATGTACGTTCGTTTACTCCTAAAATGGGGGGAAGGGGAGGTCTTGTCACCGTATTGGTGAGGAAGGCGGATGGTGAGGTGGATTTTGCAGACTTCAATAAAGTTGCTTCTAGGAGTGGCTACGACTAGCATTTCTAGGTGTCCCTTGATCACCTCGACCGGTGGCGTGCTTGAAGGCGCGCAAGGCGCCACCCGTGGCGCCTTTCACCGACACTCCGAATCCAGCACCTCCGCAGAGGTGTTTAGATCAGGAGGTGGCATGAATCCCGGAGCTTCCGGCCATTTACTTCCAGGTCGTCGAGGTCGCATGAAAAGGGGGCCAGTCTTCAACCCGCTATGGCGAGAGTGACAAGAGCGGCTTGTCTCTTTCACCAGCCGCATTATGCCTGACTCGACAAGTGATGGAACATAGGTCCAGGAAGGCACAATGACAGGCCATCTATAATTTGTCATGCATAATTTGACCTCATCAACACTGTGGCATAGTCGATTCAGATGGTTTGATTGTGTAAACAAACACAATGACAAGGCTACCAACTGGAAACAAAGGAACTTGTGACAGAGCTGTCATTGCCAAGCCGTGAGTCTTGACTAGGCACGCTCCGATAACAGGCGGAGTTACACACGACGAGGAGGGGGCGGCAGGGAGAGGGAAAGGGCGCATGTGACCAGGACTAAAGTCCTTAGTGCCGGTGAATTTTGGCAACAGAAATCACCAGTTTTAGCGTCAAAAAGGGGGCTGGATGGAGCCCATTCATTGTCGTAGGGACGTTGCCTCCACGACTAGCTCTTTGGGGGATCTAGCCACACGATGGGCTTATTTTTTCAAGCACTGCATCCAGTGATGCATGCAAAAGGTGCAAATCTAAACCGGATTTATAAAGATAATTTTTTTTGCCGACAGTGGATTAGGTCACTGTCCTGGTCATCACCTGATTGGTTGATCGAGGGGCAGCTCATGTGGCGCGCTTGTGATCCACCTGAGCGCTGGGGCCCGAGTCACACTAGTCTGCGCAACTCACCCACATGGTCGCGCAAGGTCAGCTGGGTCACAGATACAGTCGGCGAATTGGAGGGTGGGTCACAGACTCCAACTCTGCCCATTGAACCGTAATTGATGCGCCCACAGCCGTGCGTCCTATGAAGCGCTCCACGTTGCAGTTTGTCCTCCTACTCTCTCAAATTAAAAGCAATACATTTTCATTTTTCCTTATCTTCTTCAACATTTTCACCTTTTCAATAGGACTACTTCCAGTGAGTGTAGGTGGACGAGGATGGGGAGGAAGTGTATTGCAGCAAGAGGACGGCAAAGTTGGCCGTAGAGTCCACTTGACACAGGGAATTGAGGCGATGCTGCGGAATAAAGAGCACACGACCAGTAATGATTGAAATCACTTCACCTAAAGCGATGCAGAGTGGCGTGGAGGGAATGGAAGTGTCAAACATTTGGCAGTGAATATGTCACGTTGGGGGCGGTGAACATCAGCCCTTTGTCTTGTGCCACAATGCATCAGCAATGACTGACATGATTCAGAATGGAGGAGTTAGTCACAACTCCACACGTTTAAGACTCGACAACTTCAAAGACTTTGTAACTGTCAGATTTCGTATTGCCTTTGGCACACTTGTCAAACGGGTTACACACAAACGCCACCACTCCGAGTTCTTACCCCCGACTCCGGTGTCACAAGTGAGACACGTGTCATCTCCCTGGACTGGTTGAGCTAAAAACCATGCAGAGCGTTAAAGGCTCGTGGTCTGTAAACAGATGTCATCCACCCTCTTTGCTCGCCAAGTGATCAGCTTGACAGTCATTTCAAGTTTGTACTTACAAGTATGCGATTGCATTCAGGGAGTTTTTTTCCCACGAAGGTGCTGCGTTTTTGGTAGTCATTAGTGAGATGTGAGATCGCATGTCTGTTGGAAGCCACGTAGTCCTTACTCCTCCACGCTTTGATCTTGATTACTCAGGAAGGGATTTATTTTGGCCCGACTTGGATTGACAACACTCGATTCGACTCGGTATGGTAAGCATTTATCCACAGAAATGTGCTCCAATTTGTTGCTGATGCATTTTTCACATGACGCCTCCCTTTTGGCCGTAGAGACATTGCTGACCTACCTAAAGCATTTTCAAATGACAATATCATCACTCGACTCAGTAGCAGAGACGCCGGCAAATGTACATGGAAATACGAACACCAACACAAGATGAAGTGTAATTGATCCCACCCTCCACAGTGGTGATGGGTCCTCGTATTCCTTAAACTT